AAAAGTTTGAAAAGTAAGCTTAGCCTGCTTTTGTCAGCTACCACCAGTCTTACAGGCTGTAAATTTTCAGCTGAGCACAGAAGCTACAAGAGTCTGGGTTAAAAATCAACGGAAAAATGAAGTAAGGCCTGATGTACCCAGTGAAAGCTCAATTTTGCCCTCACTACAGGTGGCTGAATAGAGGAAGATGCCTTCACCTGGGTTTGCTGCTGACCAAGGGAAAATTAAGGTCTTGTAGGAGGTATCTTGGCTGCTGGTGACCACTTCAGTTGAGACTTGTAGTCTTACTTAGCTTCTCTGGAGGATCTGATGACCTTTCCACACCAGTAATACTCCTCAAAACACTGAAGCAGAAGTTCCCTTCCTGTCTCATATTCCTCCCACCAGCTTCGTCCCCTTATGCCCCCCCTCCCCAGTGTATGAATCTAATTTTCCTTTTCTGTGAGATCAAGAATATCTGCTTATAATTTTACTACATGGTGTGCAAGACATACAAGTGTGTGGTAGAGCTAATTACCACATTGGACAGAGCTTTCTTGTTGTTAGATGCCAGATCCAAATATTCCTAGTGCAGCTCTCCATCACGCAGGCATGCCAACTCACCTACACACACACAAAAATGAATCCATAAAGACAAACATTCCTATATGTTGTCCTACAAGAAAACTGCCTTAGAGCTGTTTCCTGTGACCAAAAGAAAGGAATAAAAATGAAGGGACTGCTGACCTTAGACTATTTCCACCTCACATGACCTTAATCTTATGGAAACTGAATCTTTGTGCAATTCAGGTTTTACTCATAAAACATAGGCAGCAGCAGTATATAGGCACTGGGGAACAATCGAGAAAAATGCAAAAATTCTTTGAACAGTAAAGAAAAATGTTGTTAAAACAATTTTTATAAATAATGGAAGGAAAAGCCATTTGCTGTAGTGGAGATAAAGTTCTTTTTTTCTTTATTGTTCTCCCTTAAAAAGAAAGGGAGGAGGGGAAAGGCAAGTGCTAGGATGCAGTAGCAAACATAGTTTTACTTCCCTTATGTACTTTCCCAGCAATTACAGGCTAGGAAAAGAGATTAAGTACTGAAGATCATTTTATAAAGTAAGAAATACATAGTTTCCTATTAATTACAACATTACTCTAAACTTTCGCAGTATCTCTCTGTTCATCCTACTTTTAAGGAAGCATTGCATCACAGCCAATGAATCTGGTAAATACCCCATTTATACCTGTCCTTCAAGCATTTGCAAGCATTCAAGCGCAGTTCCACTTCATTTCCCTAAAAAAACATATTCAGCATTTGCAAACCCAAGATGGACATTGAAAAGCAATTGAATACATGAGAGGATTATTCAGATGAGGCATTCTACCACGGGAGAAAAATAAGAATGATCATAGAAATGAAAATATTTGACAATTAGCAGTTTACAGCCTAATCCAAATGTCACAGTGCCCTTAATAGCCTATGTATAGATCCCACTATGTAAATAGGGTGCATAAGCTTCTATGCTATGCATGGAATCTTTTCACTTTTCAGAAGTGACAAAAGCATCCAGGTCCAAATTTCCAAAAACACCATACTCTGTGCTATGCACCTAAGCACTATATGAAACTGTCAAGATTACACTCAACCAGTCAGCTCCCAGTAGCCACATTTTATCCAAGCTTGAGTTCAAGCCAGACCACAGCTACACATTCCTAACAGAAGTCAGATGAGAAACCCAGCTTGAGCCACCACACTGCCAGTTCACACAAACATCTGAGATCCACAGACAGGCCTCTGGTCCCTGAAGACATCAAACAAATCACTCCACCCAAACCTGGCCTTGACCCCCCCCAGATCCATGTGGGTGTTGCACTTTGATGAGGGTCAACAGTTTCTTCTCAGCATAACGTGAGCCAAGCCGCCATCAGATTCCAGACCCAGAGTGTCGCCACCTGAGCACCTCCACACCACACCACCCTGGCTGGCAGAATCTGTGGGGCAGCCCAGCTCCCAGGTCCTGCTACCCTAGGAGGATGGCCCCTAATCAAATTAGACTATATAGGGCATTGGTATAAGATTCTGAGTCGTTAGCACTTAAAGGCGTTTGAGGAGAGGTAAACCCAAAAGCATTTTGCAGGTTGAGGGATAGAGGTGTGTATATCCTCCCACTTATCAACATACTTTTCATGCTGCCAGGAAACAACTACCTCCCAAGTCACCAGTTCAGAGCAAGGCCCCTTAAAAGCATTCTTCCAAAGGAAATCCCCTCACCTTCAGTCAAGAGTATTTTTTCAAATGTTCTGTCTTACAGTATTAGTTAAAGGCCATAAGAAATTGCACATCTTTGTGGCTTTTATTATTTCCTCTACAGCAGTATGCTGTAAAACCAGTAGTGAGACTCTTTTTAAAACTCAAGTGTTACTGTGAGTCCTTCAGCAAACTCACAGTCCTTTTCAAGGCTCAATAACCACCATACCTCAATATATAACCACCATCTTTCATACCTTAACATTCAAAACATTGATAGAATTTGCTTTTAAATTGTGCCTTTTGTGGTTGTTTGGGGTTTGGTTTTTTTATTGCATTCCTGGACAGCCTAGAATAAAATTGGTACTGCTGAGTTCTGTTTAAAGAACTGTTAGAACCAGAAAAGGATGAGAAAAAAAAAATTATTTCCAGGAGGGCTTTCCACATCCAAAAGCAGCTCAGAACTAGTGCTGAATAAAGAGGTGGCTGTTACGAGCAGAATGGGGGAATCTGGATTATTGCCTGTGAAGCTCTCAGGAAAACTCTGAAAATAAGCAAGGAAATCCAGAGATGAAATGGGGAGCAAAGTAAGTGTTCAGAGAATGCACTTGGATTGTCTGTGTATCTCTGAGGACATGAGAAGGCAGGACCAAAAGCAAATTGAATTTCCATCTCCTGAGTGCACACACGGAGATTTGAAATGTGATCAGAAATCCAGCATGACAGATTGTTGTAGCAGTTACTCCAGATAAAAGAAATTGATAGACAATGGTTTCAGAAGACTGAAGTTTAAAGCAACAGAGGCTCAACCAACAGTAGCATTTTAGGCTAGTCAAATTTATAGGAAAGGAAATACAAAGCCATCTTCAATGCCTGAAACAAACATTTTTAAAGCAATTCTGTTTTGAATCCATAATGAGCATGCACACAAATAAAAGGCCAAACCAAAATGAACAGATCCTAATACTCATTGCAAGAAACACACAAACTATTACGGTTTGGAGTTGTTTTTTGGGGTTGGGTTTTGGGGTTTGTTTTGTTTTTTAACAGAACTTGAGATATGTAACTGCTGAATAATATTTTCAGTTTGAGATTGGTCTTGATCTTCTGAACTTCTAAGCTGCTTACTTCTTACTAGAATTGGCATTAACCCCCAACTTAATAAACAAAACATCTCTTGCTTACCCTACAACTCCCTCAAGAAGCCTTTCTCTGCTTGAAAATACAACCTGCACAATGGAACAGGATTATATTTTAGTAATAATACAATTTTATTGTTGGAATCCCCTTCCGTTTGAAGCAAACCACAGGAGTGACACATTTATAAGGTATTTATAAGGGGAATTTCCTACTCAATTAAAACACATATGAATATGAGAAAACAAAATATCAGGTGAGAGGACAGCAAAGAGGGAGCTCAAAGATCCACTGCAACACAAATATAGAAAAAAAGTAGTCAAGGTTTTTATTTCAGCTGGAGGTGCATGATCCAAGCTGGATTTGTTATTCTAAAACCGAAACTGTAAGAAATACTATGACCCTTCACTCTGAAACCCAGCTGAGCCAACACAAGGTTGCTTTCATCAGTCTGCGGCGATTCTGTAGTTTTGCCTTCATTCTAGATTCCAGCAAAAACAGACCCGTCACACTCATTGCTTACATGTAATATTGTATTTGACGCAGAACTAGACTTCAGTGTAACTATTGCATAAGACAATAGAGAAACCTGTTATCAAGCAGCAAGCCATTACCCAATACCTGGGCTCATTCCATGAGTCAGAATGGAGCAGCCTGCTGCTTTCAGTAGGTATGAAGGTCATTTTTACAATTACTGTTTCTAGTAAAAGACAAACTCCCACACACGGTGAAAGCAGGATGGTTACAAACAACGTGGGATATTTCTCACGTAGGCTGTACAAAGAGGGCGTATCTTCTGCCTTGAATACAAATGCCAGCAGTGTGAATTTTTAGTAACTAGGTGACTGCCTAGTCAGTGAGGTTCACACAGAGCATTGGTGGCAGCACATTCACAGTGGTGTCATGTTTTCAGGGGGAAGATCAGCAGGTAGAGAATGAAATCAGAGATTGTTCTGCCACTATGTTACCTCATCAAGCCAAACCATCTGTCTACTTCTGTCCAGGAGGAATAAGTCACAGAGCTTCATGTTTGTACTACACTCTGTCCTCCAACCAAAGATATTATTGCTGACTGAGTATAGCCATATTTAGATACCATCTTTGTACTGATTTCAGCTACATAAGTTCTACTTTTTCACTACAGAGAAAAGGAAAGCAATATGAGGGGTATCAAACAGCTTCATTTCTCCACAGCAGCTCCTATAGGAGATCTGGCCAATCCCCACGAACTTGTTTGTGCAATCTCAATAACAATACAAATTATAAGAGGTCAAACTCACCCCTTTGTAAAACAGTTATTCTTTTACACCAGAGTTTTGTGGGTGGCTATTTAATAGAACAGGTCCCCTAAATTCAGAGACCCCCTTTTCACTTTTCTCAAGCTCAGATGGCCCAATGCTTGCATCAAAAGAAAAGACATGGAAACAGAAAACTGTCAAATGGTTATTTTATTACCACAAGTAATCTTATTGCTTACTGACAGTTATTATTAGGGGCTTATAATAGATATCTTATTCTTGTGTGCATGTATGCCACATGCACGTAGGACTGGCTGAAACAGACTTGGCCCAGCAAAATGTTTTCTCAAATATTATCCTGCAGAAGAAACAACAATTGGTTTTACTACCCACATTGTTCTCTCCACTGCCCAGGTTTGCCTCATCAGCTGTGAGCACTTGGATTTTGAGCACCTTTGGGAATAGTCTTCTCCAGCTCTCTTCATCTGTCCTGCATCTACAGCGTAGTCCTGAAACCACTGAACTGAGAGGTAGAGTTCACTATTACCCTCCTTGGAGTGGAAACAATCTTTAAGTTATTTTTCATATCACTCACATACCCCTACAGAGGAAAACGGCAACTTCCAATTTACAGTCTTGTTATGATCTATAACTACAGGTAGTCCTCAAATCTAGAACTTCAGTGGCACATAGCCAGTGAAGATGAAGCTGTGATAGTTGCTACTTTTGAAGTTGCCAGGTTTTCATAGCTGAAGAAGTTGAAAGGAAATTACTCTTCCTTAGTGCAGCAGAATACAAAGAAACAAAGACTGAAGCAGCATGCCAAAGTGCTTTGAACAGTAAAATGTGTCTTCATCTATTTTTTTTTTGTGCTGGCCTGTATTTTGCTTAGTGTTTCAGGTCAAATATAAGCTTGTGTCAGTCCACAGGACTCACTTATTTCAGATGCGTTACCTCTTCATGAAGAAGAAAAGACCTAATATGAAGTCTTCTTGAATTAGTAGCTGGGTCCATTGCACAGTTGTTTCAAATGACTTTATCCTTTCACCTTAAGGATGGGTGAGGGGGAAAAAAAATAAATAAAATCAGTGTCAAAAACCCAAAGCCAGGAGGCTTTGTTCCTGGGAAACAGTTAATCTAATTAAAACCTTGGCAATCTAAGTAAAACACATATTGTTATTAGTCCATTTACACTTATGGTTAATAATACCTTTAAAAATCTACATATACGAGCTTCCTAGTACTTCTTTTTTTTCCGGTCTAGCATTATACTCACTCTCACTATCCCTCTGAGTCCTGAAGGGGGCAGCAGCAGCAGCCATCTCCATGCTGAAACACCAGGAGGGTACAGCCGCTTATCATTAGCATCCCAAGTTCTTCGCTGATGTTATACCTCTGATGTTATTATGATGTTATGATATTATGACGTCATAACGCTGGGTTATATTTATGTTTTTCTGACACAGACAGTTCTCTCCTAGTTAGCTACAAGATTTAAATTACAACACAGTTGACCCCAGCCTTAACTCAGATAAAGGGTTACCCTTCATTAAATGATTAAATATAGATTCTGATACTTATATAAGTAGTTTTTGTAGAGCACAGTGCACATATGTGAGGAATAAAAAATTGCCTACCTATTAAGCAACATCCACAGCAAAAGCTAGCTAAAGGCCATATGAGCTCTGAGACATTATGTTGTCATGCCAGAAGAGCACCTACAGACTTTCACCATTAAAGGCAAAAGTCTTATTTACCAGGCTACAGAATCTTCATCCAAACTGCCTCTGTAGGAACAACAAAACATTTCTTACAATGCAATTTAGCCAGAACACCCACAGAGTATGGTAACCTGTCTGCCAGAAGGCCCAAGAACAAGAGCAAACAATTGAAGGGAGGAGTAAGCTCCTAGATGTCTGTACATTGTCAGTGCGTAACAAATTGCAGAGCCCTGATTAGTACTTGAGGAAACTCAAATCCATTTCTGGACTGTAGGAGGAAACATGAACTTTCTGGTCTAAGCAATATTATATGTTGAGGAAAATGGAGAAATCACTTTGATATTTAAGGATGTCTTGGTAAGGCAGCATTAGACTTTAAGCTGAACTGGTTAAAAATTAGAAAGCAACATGCAAATAGTTTAGTTTTGTTTACATCCAAAAAGCAAATCAGTATGGCTGTCTCCTTCCAGCACTCCAATTAAAAGGTATAAAATGAGTCTTTACGCTTGAGTTGGAGCATAGATTATTCCAAGAAACAACAACAGATATTATCAACAACAACAATGAAATCATTTAAGATTAGGCCAAATACTCTAATATGTTTTGCCTGTAACTTATAAAGAAAAGGAATTTCTGTATCTCTAAAAGTCCTAAGAATTGCTACATTTCTGCTTGACTGATGTGATCAACTACTTATTAGAATCATAGAATCACAGAATAGTTAGGGTTGGAAAAGACCTTAAGATCATCTAGTTTCAACCCCCCTGCCATGGGCAGGGACATCTCACACTAAACCGTATCACTCAAGGCCTCGTCCAACCTGGTCTTGAACACTGCCAGGGATGGAGCATTCACAACCTCTCTGGGCAACCTATTCCAGTGCCTCACCACCCTAACAGGAAAGAATTTCCTCCTTATATCCAATCTAAACCTCCCCTGTTTAAGTTTTAACCCGTTACCCCTTGTCCTATCACTACAGTCCCTAATGAAGAGTCCCTCCCCAGCATCCCTATACGCCCCCTTCAGATACTGGAAGGCCGCTATGAGGTCTCCACACAGCCTTCTCTTCTCCATGCTCAACAGCCCCAACTTTCTCAGTCTATCTTCATACAGGAGGTGCTCCAGTCCCCTGATCATCCTCGTGGCCCTTCTCTGGACTTCTTCCAACAGTTCCATGTCCTTTTTATGTTGAGGACCCAGAACTGCACACAATACTCCAAGTGAGGTCTCACAAGAGCAGAGTAGAGGGGCAGGATCACCTCCCTCGACCTGATGGTCATGCTCCTCTTGATGCAGCCCAGGATACATTGGCTTTCTGGCCTGCAAGAGCACACTGCCTGCTCATGTTCATTTTTTCATCAACCAGCACCCCCAAGTCCTTCTCTGCAGGGCTGCTCTGAATCTCTTCTTTGCCCAACCTGTAGCTGTGCCTGGGATTGCTCTGACACAGGTGTAGGACCTTGCACTTGTCATGGTTAAACTTCATAAGGTTGGCATCATCCCACCTCACAAGTGTGTCCAGGTCCCTCTGGATGGCATTCCTTCCCTCCAGCGTATCAACCTAACCACACAGCTTGGTGTCATCGGCAAACTTGCTGAGGGCGCACTCAATCCCACTGTCCATGTCAGTGACGAAGATGTTAAACAAGACCGGTCCCAACACCAATCTCTGAGGGACGCCACTCGTTACTGGTCTCCAGCTGGACATCGAGCCATTGACAACAGCTCTTTGTGTTCAGCCATCCAGCCAGTTCTTTATCCACCGAGTGGTCCATCCATCAAATTGATGCCTCTCCAATTTAGAGGCAAGGATACTGTGTGGGACACTGTCGAACACTTTACACAAGTCCAGGTAAATGACATCAACTGCTCTACCCCCGTCCATCAGTTCTGTAGCCCCATCATAGAAGGCCACCAAATTCATCAGGCAGGATTTCCCCTTAGTGAAGCCATGCTGGCTGTCACCAAGCATGTTGTTGATTTTCATGTGCCCTAGCATGCCTTCCAGGAGAATCTGCTCCAAGATTTTGCCAGGCACAGAGGTGAGACTGACTGGTCTGTAATCCCCTGGGTCATCCATTTTCCCCTTCTTGAAAATGGGGGTTATATTTCCCTTTTTCTAGTCGTTGGGAATCTTCACCTGACTGCTATGATTTCTCAAATATGATGGCCAGTGGCTTAGCAACTTCATTTGCCAGCTCCTTCACGACCCGCAGATGAATTTCATCAGGACCCATGGACTTGTGCACTTTCAGATTTTTAAGATGGTCTCAAACCAGATCCTCTCCTACAGTGGGCACAAGGTCTTCATTCTCACAGTCCCTGTGTCTGCCTTCCAAGACTTGGGTGGTTTGGTCACAGCTTTTGCCAGTGAAGACTGAGGCAAAGAAGTCATACAGAACCTCAGCCTTCTCCAAATCCTATGTAGTCACTTCTCCCGAGAGCTTCCTGAGGGGGCCTGTGTTCTTCCTAGTCTGGTTTTATTTGCTGTGTACCTGTAGAATCCCTTCCTGTTATCCTTAATATCCCTAGCCAAGTTTAATTCTATCTGGGCTTTAGCTTTCCTAACCTGGTCCCTAGCTTCCTGGACAGCACCCCTGTACACTTCTCAGGCTGCCTGTCCTTGCTTCCACTTATTATAAGCTTCTTTTTTATTTTGAATTTTCCTCAGGAGCTTCTTATCCATCCAAGGAGGTCTCCTGGCCCTCCTGCTGCACTTCTTTCTAGTTGGGAGGCAACACTCCTGAGCTTGTGGCATTGGAACCTTGAATATCAACCGAGAGTCTGGGGCCCCCCTGCCCTCTAGGGCTATATCCCATGGACCTTTACTAAGCAGGTTCCTGAATAGGCCAAAGTCTGTTCTTTTGAAGTCCAGGGCAGTAAGCTTCCTGCATGCTCTTCTCACTGTCCTGAGGATCTCTAATTCGAGCATCTCGTGATCGCTGCATCCAAGGCTGCCCTGCAGCGTCATGTTTCCAACCAGCCCTTCCCTGTTGGTGAGCCCCAGGTCAAGCATGGCACCTCTCCTTGTCAGCTCCTCTATTACATGCAGAAGGAAGTTGTCTTACACACAATCAAGGAACATCTTGGATTGCTTGTGACAGGCCGTACCATCCTTCCAACAGATGTCAGGCTGATTGAAGTCCCCCATGAGAACAAGGGCCTGTGAGCGTAAGGCTTTTCCTATCTGTCTATAGAGTGCTTCATCCGCAGGTTTCCCTTGATCAGGCAGTCTGTAACAGTAATGTCTCCCATAGCTGTTTTCCCTTTAACCCTGACCCACAAACTCTCTGTGGACTGCTCACCTGTCCCCAGACAGAGTTCCATACTCTCCAGCCTATCCCTAATATAAAGGGCAATTTCCCCTCCCCGCCTGCCAGGCCTGTCTTTTCTAAGAAGCCTGTAACCTTCTATTCCAACACTCCAGTCATAGGAGCCATCCCACCATGTTTCTGCAATGCCTATTATATCATACCCCTGTAGACGTGCACACATCTCTAATTCCCCTTGTGTTCCCCATGCTAAGGGCATTTGTATAGAGGCATCTGAGCCGAGCTCCAAATGAAGCCGGCTCATTGGCTGGAGCAGCTGGAATATCTCTGCATTGCTCCGAGAATTTATTATAGGTGCTGGCAACTGACTGGGTGTGTTGGGATGGAATGATGCCCCCCTCCCCCAACACATCTAGTTTAAAGCCTCCTTGACCAGTCTGACAAGCTTCCTACCAAAACTGCTCTTTCCCTTCTTTACCATTAGACCAGCTTCTCCAGCCCCCACTAGACCTGGCCTACAAACTTGGGTCCCCGTGTTCAAGACACCAAAACCCCTGACTATGACACCACCCTTTTAACCATTTATTAACCTGGCTGATCATCCTAGCTTTTTTTAGGTCCTCCCC